TGGTCACCGCCAAGAAACCGCTGGTAGCAACTTTTCCCTCCTTCCCTTTCCCACCACCCCTTCCCACCTGTCACATCTACAATGTCTCTCCTCCTCTGCTTCATCTTGTGGCCTTTTTCTATTTGCACAGAGAGATTTTAGTCAGTTCTCACCTTCATACACAGCTCTTCCCACTGAGTGTGGAGTTGCTCCAGCTGCTGCTCCAGTAGAGCCGAGTCACTGGCCGCGACATACTGGGACAGGTCCGTCTTCATGGTGGCCAGTTCCCTCAATCCACCGGCCAGTCGCTGCAGAGAGAGCTCGGTCTCCTGCATAACACACACATGCATGCACACCTCAGCACAAAGTCAGACAGCCACGTACAAGTAGTGCGTACACGCTTCTCTACCTCCTTCTTGTTCCCGTTCGCTCTGACCGTCCAGATTAAAGCGCTGTGGACGGGACAGCGGGACAGGGGGAGGGTTGAAGGGGTGGAAAGGGGGAGGGGAGTGAAAGCATGGGGGTATTAAATAAGGGAAAGGGGGGTAAACTCAGAGGCTCTCTGGTGGGATGGGGGGTAGCTACTGATGGAGTTGAGGGGTGGGGAAACTTTGGCCACTTTTCAGAAGAGCTGACCAGTTAGGGTCTTTTCTATCACACTCTCGGGGATGAGTTAAGCCGGGCTCACACAACAGGAGTCCTAACAGGTGTAAAAATCGGGCTTCACCCTGTACATAAGGAGAAACTTTGCTGATATTCTTCTCTGTAATCTCAGATATGCACACACTACAGGATTAGAAACAATATTAAGATTATCAAGGCAGAGGCAGCAGTCAGGGAGCACAGCACTGCCTCACGTGATCTCATGGGGAAGCAGATGTAAACAGAATGGAGAATGTGGAGGAGAAAAAAACTAAAGAAGGAGTCTAAAAGAGTCTAAAAGAGAGGCTAAATGTGGGAAATGGTTGGGAAGATGCAGCAAATAGGGGATTACTCAGTGACAACAAGAGGTGAGAATATACCTGAAGCTAGTGTGTCTCAAAGGGCTGAATGTTCAGCGTTGCCTGGCAGCTGTGTCCCAGGCTGTGGCTGCTAGTGTTAATCCTAACAGCGCTAGTCTGAATTTGTAAATATCAAACATGTTTGATATTTTTAGTGGCAGCCCCAGTGGTTTAAGGCCGGATTTGCAAACCCTCACATTATCAAATCATATTAATAATGGACCAAACCAAGATCCCAGACAAAATTTCTCCTCCGATTGTCAGGATGGGTGAAACAGAGCTCCTGTACTGTGAGTCCGGCTTTATTGGAAATCATGCAGCAACATCCTGTGTCAATGTCATACATACTGTACAATGACAATGTCTCTTCAAAAGGTCAATTGTTACTGGTACAGTCACACAATTAACACTGTCAGTGACCCTCACTGCCTGTTTTCCAGCAAAATCCGAATTGACTCTGAGAAATAATTTTTGTAGAAATTTTTGGTCCTTTGCAGAAAAGTTTTGGTTAATAAAGTTCTGTTAAAAACAAAGAGTTATTTGAGACAGCTGGTAGTTTTGTGCCGTCTGATTATTTGAAAAGCAAAATATAGACTCAACAAAAAAATCAGCATGGAAAATGACATCTTATTCTTTAAACTTCTTGAGGCTTAAAGCATTTAAAATAAATAAATTAACTACTCACCATTGTAACATCTGTGTTAATATTGTTAATGTTGTTCGGCAGAATCAAATCCACAAATGTATCACCGACACATGGATCATTTTATTGTCAATAGTCTTTTAGTGAGGCACAAGTTGATCCAAGTTCTTAAAAAAGTAAGTGATGAAATTTATTTTCCCGCCAATGAGTAAAGGAGTTGAGAAAAATACACATGACCGGGTTTTATTTATTATTGATGACAGTTTTTATCTAGCCCTGTGTATTTATTTCATGCAAAGTCATGTAAAAACTTTCATTTATTTAAATCACCTGAATAAGTGTCTCTTCCTCAGAGTCCTCTGGTCCTTCAGACGGTGGTTGCTTCAGCTTCAGCTCATCAAGTTCCGACATGATGTTGGTTATTCCATCCTGACACTCAGACCACATCTAACCAGGCAGCAGCACACAGAAAATGGAGATATGAGGAGAATAATCTAACAATAACATTGTTTGGGATCTGCATGCGAACAATCATGGAATTACATCAAACAAACAAGGACAACTAAAGTAAACACAGTGGTAAGTCATGACAGGTTTTTTTTGTTAATTTATCTGTAAATTAGATAAAAGACCAAAGTGTAGACGCTGTTCATTTTTTCAACATACAGTGGTATGCAAAAGTTTGAACAAGATTTCGTCCTGTGAATAGTGAAGTGAGAAGAAGATGAACTGAGCTCCAAAAGGCATAAAGTTAAAGATGAAACAGTCTTTCCAGCATCTTACGCAGGATTAGAGCATCATTTTAGTTTTGTACAATTTTAGAGTGCACAAGGGAAAAGAGAACATGGCAAAGGTTTGGGAACCCTAAGAGGTCTGAGGTCCTAGATAACTTTTACCACAGTCTTGGACCTTAATTAGCTTGTTTACAGTCATCGTTAGGAAAGGGACAGTGATGTAAATTTCAAAGCTTTACAAATACTGACTCCTCAAACCTATGCAGGATTAAGCGTTTTTAGCTGCTGTCTTGCCCTCAGTTCAGTTCGTAATGAAGAACAGTAAACCTTCCTGAAGAACTATATCTAGGATTGCTACAGAGGCAAACTACATTCTTCATTTCACTGAAAACGACTTAACGGAAGAGCAATTAGAAAAAACCCCTTTCTGCATCCTCACTACAAAATTCTGACCCAGTATGGTAAATACTCTGCACTTATACAACACCTTTCTACCCTCGTGGTACTCAGAGCTCTTCACAATGTGTTTCTCATTCACACACCGATGGTGACAGAGCTGCCATATAAGGTGCTTGCCAATCATTGGGAGCAACATGGGGTTCAGTGTCTTGCCCAAGGACACTGGAAACATGTGCAGGGGACGGGGATTGAGACGTCAATCTTTTGATTAGTGAACAACCTGCTCTGACACCTGAGCCACAGTCGCCCAGAAGGCATTGATCCAGCTAGTTCTGTGGACTGATGAAGGTAAAATGAAAAATTTTGACTGCAGTGGGGTACATTTTTGAGGAAAAATATGCAGAATTGAGTGAAAACGACACCTCTCCAACTGTTAAGCAAGCCAGTGGCATGGGAAACATTTCACTGGTAGAATGACAAATGCATTCAATTAAATACAGTCGTGACTCAATAATGCGACACTAAATGTGAAACCTTCTTTTATGTCGGATAGCAAGGCTGTCGGATTGTCAAGATGGAGGTCAAGATACAAGGAGAGCTTGCTTGAAGAGTAATTTGTTGTTAATATTTATTGTTTATAGTTGTTATAATAACTAGCGTATTGTTAGAACACTATGCATCGCTGGATTTCACACCTAATTGACCGGGGCAATTGTGCACATTCCGGCCAATTCAGACCCGTCGGAGCGCACCACTGGGGTGGAAGTGGCTGGAGCGCACAGGCAGTATTTGGCTGCTGATACCGGTTAAGCTAGTGGTCACACTTCTGTTTCCACCATTGGCGACAGTGGCGGGGGAGTGGTGGGCAAGATATGCTCCACCATTACCATCCATGCTTACTTCCACAAACACTGAGCACGTTTTCTGTGTGTGACGTTGTTGTGTCCTCTTCTGCGCATGCAGGATACTTTTGGGTCATATGAAGTTCACACAGAAGATCACATACAAGTCGCATTTAATTAGAAATGTGAACGAATTTGCAAAAAATCCATTTTGAGCATTAAGTCCTGCAGTCTGAACGTAGCCAATCGGTCAGATTGTTAAGTCAGATAATACATTTGTGATGTAAAATGTCATGTCGGAGTCAGAATCCAAGGCTGTCAGTATATTAAGGCTATTTTTCATGGGTTCTGTTTGTTTTTCCTGAAAACCTGTCGGATAGCAAGGTTTTCGGATTGTTAAGGGTCGGATTATCAAGTCACGACTCTAGCAGCAAATTCTGGAAGTTAACATCACACTGTCCAAAAAGCTGAAGATGAAAACAGGATTGCTTCTACAACAGTCAATGACTCTAAATACTTCTCAAAATCCACAGTAGACCATTTCTTACTGTAAGGTCTTTGTGAATGAACAAACTATGCAAATGAAACTAAACAACAGAGATGTTCATACAATACGGTGATCAACTTAGTCTCTTGGTGTCAGTTCGACTTTGTGTGTTACGTTACTTCATGTGTGATCTTTGACATGCTGCTCAGATGGATTTCCCTTTTCCTGTTGAGGTTAAAGGGGTTAACACAACTTTCCCTGACCTCTTTGGTCACCAACACATTCATAATTACCACAGCTCATGGAGCAGGGAAGACCGTCCAAAACTCTGACCAGACAAAGTCCTCCACCACAGCTTGGATGAAATAGAAGTCACAAGAATTGGACCAAAATATCAACTATGTCAAAGTAATAATCAGTATGTCCCCAACAGTCTGACAAGTTTTTCTTTCACTATAAGCAGACAAAAGACTGTGCTGACATTTATTTTCATAGAAATTTTTTTTTTCTTTTTTGTCTGTTCTTACAGTAGGCACTGCAGTGAAGGAATGAAAAGGACAGACACTGGCAACCAGCTGTCTCTGGATGTGGATCATGGAGAGATTTGAGCCGCTCTTTGATCCCTCTTGGCAGAAGCTCAGTGCCAGGGCAACACACCAGCTCCAGTGTGGTGTGTGTGTGTGTGAGTGTGTGTGAGTGTCTGTGTATTTGGGTGGGATCAGGTTCTGGATATGGGTCACGCAAAGCAGACACATCTCTTCTTAATATTACAACACATGCTCTCTCTTAGATTTTGTTATTTCAAAGCTATAGCCCTCGAAATGCTGAAACTGTATCAAGGAAAACTACAAGTAGAATCTGCAGCGGTTTCTCTGGATTCTGCTGATTAGTGGACTACTGATATTTATGTGCAGTATGTGTATAAAGCACAAAGAAGAGGACACTGGGACATTTTAAGAAATAAAGTCCCTTGGCGGCAGTTGAGAGTGAAGTTATGTTGAACAGTGCATTGACTGCTGTTCCCTAAATTCATAGGATGTGTCAGATGCAGTTTAGTTTTAGATTCTTACCAACTGTTTTTTATTTTGAAAAGTTTTATGTTAGGCTCCTTTTGCACTATATAAAAAAACTTTCGACCTTTTTCAAAGAAGTGAGATTTACATTTTCTTGCCTCTAAGTGCCATTTGTCAAATCTAAAATGTAAAAAAAAATAAAAAATTTAATTATGACATATTAAATATCAAGTGTTTGATTTTAAAAGAAAGAATGAAAATAATAAACTAAGGAGTGTTACCTGAACAGTGCTATCAACCAGGCCTCTTCTTCCCACCAGCGAGCAGCTTCGCTCCCAGGCCGCCTCTATGGCCTGGAGCTCTGACTGCAGTCGATTCTGACTCTCCGGCTCTGTCATGGTTTCACACAAATGTCTGCCAGCCTCCAGTGTCTGAGTGTACACAGGAGAGTGCAGACCCAGAGACTCTTCTGCGCACTTCAAAAAAACATGTGGGGAGACACAGTGTCTATGTTGAGCATTTCAAATAATTACATTAAACTTGGCACGATTTCAGCATTCCTCCAGTGGAAAATAAATAAGATTTTCATTCATTGACAGAGGCTGAAGGGCAAAGTTAGGAATACAGTAATCTCCACTGCTGTCCATACACACAGACCTGGTAATCATCCGCACAGTTCTGGAGCTGTTGCAGCGTGCACAGAGAAGGTCCAGTGGGGGGCAGCAAAGAGTCGACATCTGTCAGCAACTTCTTCAAAACTTTCAAGCCGCGGTGGAAGATTCTCCACTGGTGTAGCTGTTCCTTTGTTAATATTTGATTGTGACGAGCCAGAGCGATGGAGTGGAACCAGCTTTCCTTCACACAGGCTACTTGTGCCATGAGTTCAGATCTGTAAGAATCACAACAAGAAGTTCAGTTCATATGCTTATTCGGAGGAAAAAATGGAACTTGGTTCTTGGCATCTAATCAAAAAAAAACATAATACATTTGGAATTAAGTGGGAGATGAGTTGAAAACATGGTTGTCATAGAGATGCAAGGTTTTGCAGCTGGAATTCGGCTCATTGTAAAAATGAGCGCATAATTGGAGCGCATAATTGGAAAAGTAATAAAACAAGGAGGCACAGGCACAAACAACTCTGTCATAGTTGATTCATAAGGAATTTCTAAATTGTCTTTAAATCAGCAGGATATCAAGACTGTCTTACAGCCATGAACAGCAGTTCCAGCTGGGGAAAGACAAGGAAAATTCCCGTTTAAAGTCCCTAAAAACTTTGAAAGCTTTCCCAGCTTTTCAAAGACTCCAAAGATCCAGTTTAAGGACCGAGCATCAAGGAAAGAGACAACTCCCTGGACATGTACACACACTGCCTTTTGTTGTGTGTCAGTGTTTAATCAATCTGTGACTGCTATGAAAGAAGAGAAGAACGCACTGTGACAATTTTTTTAGATACGTTTCCTGAAAATGTATATTTAAATATGCAAATGAGGTATTATCTCAGTCAGATTAAAAATTCTAGTTTCATGCTGTTAACAACCAGAAAAAACAAAAACAAAAAAACAAAAAGACAATTTTCACAATTTTTTAGGAATATAATCCAGCAGCAAATGACATATAAACAAACCCCTCTGTGAAAACCTTCCAAATATAGTTAGAAATATAACTGGAAGTTTCTGTGTACGGAGAGACTGAAGACTGAAGACTAAAGCCACACGGATCTCTGATCAAGGTAGTATTTCTTGTAGAATGAAATGCTTTAAAATATATTCTACAGGTGACATTCTACCACCATCTACCATTTTGGATCTAAGACTCAATATTTCAGGGTAGCATGTGAAGAGTTCATTTGCAAAAACAGATAACTCCATCTTCACAAACCTTCAGAAAACCTACTATTCCATCGTCTACCTGAGCCAATATCAATCAAACTTAAGTTATCTCTATTTTTGTCATGTTATTTCCAATGAGTCAAATCCACTCAACTTCAGTTTGATTGATAAAACAACAACAAAAAAAGTTTTCTGAAAATCTACAAAAATGGAGTTATCTGTTTTTGTAAATGAATTCTTCAAATATTAATAAATACAATGATCTTTGGGGATTTTTTTTTTGAACAATATGGTTTAGTTGAGGTTTAAATACCATGCATGAAAAGACTAAAGGTGTTTCTATTGCTTACCTTTTCTCTCCTGTTTCTTTTTCCATACGCTTGACTGCGTCACAGAGCAGGCCCTGCAGAAGCTCATGTCCTGTAGTTATTTCAGCCTGAAGCCTCTGTGGGAGTGATTGGTACCAGCAGGAGAAAGAAAACCATTAGATTCATAGATCATTCATGTTTTCATCAGACTTGTTCATGATTACACTGGAAATGGCAAGAAAATTTTAATTACATTACCAGTAGAGTTATGGTGCAAAAATCAGTGTGAGTTAAAAAGTTCAAACACTCTCTGGTCACAAATGGCACTGAATGAAGCTCCATAACGTGCTGCCGTAATCTCAGTGATATATGAAACCAGCGTTTGTGCTGATGAGGTGGTTAATTCAGCTCAAGACTTATTAAAGGCACATTTCTGGTCAACATACTTATTATCTAGTAAAGCATGGGCAGCGTGCAGAGGAGCTGTTCATCCAGAGTTCAGACTAATCTGCAGCTGCAGGGGTTGGAAAAGCCTTTTCAACAAAGAAAATTCTCCAAGTGAAAATACCTGGCAGCTTTGCTTTTCAAGTAGAGTCAACAGAGTAATATGATATAATGCAAGCTCTTTAGTTTATTTGTCAATCACTAAAGGAGGCAAGTTAAAGGTTGTTTATGTTTGTCAGATATGAATCTCAATAATGTTTCTGAAATGAAATACGTGACAAGTGTGTTTTACCTGATGGACAGCCAGCATCTCCTGGACGCTTGAATAACTCACAGGTTTGCTGCACACTGACTCTTGCTTAAGCTTTTCCTGGATAGATGTCAGGTTCTTACACTTCTCCTGAAAGCTCTGGGAATGCTGACGTTCAGCCTGCAACTTCCTGCAAAACAATGTAACACACACACATGCAAAGAGTTCAAGACCGCAGCAGTTTTCTTTTAATGTATACACTGAATCTTGACTCATGCAAACAGATACAAACACTATCACATTTTTTTTTTTAAACTTTCAGAGTCTCTTATTGTGCTCTAAATTCTCACGTCTCCAGAATGTGTGAGCTTAAAATACTACTAATAACTACTAACAAAATGGTTTATTTCACCACCTGATGTCAACTGGTTAGTTTGGGTTGCACCAAAGCATAACACATGAAAACACACTAACCCATGCAGTCTATTTATTGGTTTAAAATCACTTTTTAACATTTCCACTAACTCTCATAGACCCTCAGCATTACTATTTCCACAGAGATACCATTTCCAGGGGTGCCAAAGGAATGGCAGTAGTGTCTTCGTATTTTCAGTTTTTATTTTACACCTCCAAGTCTTTAAGACAAAACACTATAAAAACAAAAAATAGAAAGTCTAAAAATAGACTTTTGAGTACTGGACGAGTGACAAATTTTTATTTTTTGTTTTCAATAACATGATAAATTTAGTCACGAGGCCAAAATAACATATGTTGCCAAAATGTCTGCCCATTTATACACTTAATACCTCACAACACCTTCCATTTGTTACTAAACTGTAAGATATGTAAATAAATATTGAAAATACTATTTTATATTGGTATAAGTGCTTACTCTCATTTTTATTGTTCTTTCTAATTGATTTTTATTGTTCTAGTTTATTTCTTTTATTTCTTATACAGATTCACCAGAGTTAAATTCCTTGATTGCGTGTACAAACTTGGCCAATAAAGTTTCTGATATTTCACAACTATTTCGTGAACTGAACTTTCTCACCTGTTCATGTCAGATGCACCAGTCATGCTTTCAGCCCAGTCCCTGCTGAGCACACGCAGTCTCTCCCTCTCCTGCTTCTTCAGTGTCATGCAGCTGCTCATCTCCTTAATCTCCACCAGTGATGGGAACAGATCACTGAGCTCCAGGAGAACTTGCTACAAATTTAGGATACAATGAACATAAAGCACATTTTTAGTTTAAGAACCCACAATCAAAAAGGATTCAAACATGAGAGCAAAAAACAGTGTTAAGGATGCTGGTTTATGGGAAGAAAAATGAGTCTGATTAACCTCCACAGAGTCTGTGTCCTTCAGTTTATGCAGCAAGTTCTGTGTCTGCTTTTCAAGGTCCTCCAGTCGAGTATGAAACAGTTTCTGTTGGTCCAAGTTCTCCTGCACACAGACAGAAATGCAACCACTTTAATACCAGCCTGGACTTGGAAATTTGAACATTCAATTTGAACGAGACATTATGAATTTAGTGTAACTTTTTGAACAGAACATCTTCCATCAATCACTGAATTGTAGGATATATCATTTTCTTACCTGAAGACTTGTGTTTTTCCCTGACATGGCCTGGTTCAGCAACAGAATGTCACGTGACAGCAGCCTGGTCTCTGCTTGGATCAAATTAGCAGCCAGAGGTTCTAGCTGTCCAATAAGAGGCTTGGACACCGCCAGCACTTCTCCCACGCTGCGCTGCAATTCTTCAGCAGCCTCCTGCAACTTCTGGGTTCAGAAAACAGCGAGTTAGATGGAGGAATAAAAACTGTTTATTGAATAAATGCTTCCTGTTTTTCATCATCTTTCCAGTTTTCAGCTTATTTCATTCATGCATGTTTAAAAAGGAAAGATCAAAACATTGTAGCTGCTTTTTATCCTCGTGGAAAAACTCCTGTTTTCCACAAATGGTTTTAACTTATATGTTCCAACAAAATAAGCCCTCCTGAGTATTACAAAGAGGGCAGAGGTGGAAAAAATACTTGAATGGAGCCCAAAAGCCTTTTGTCTACGAATGAGCAAAACAACATATAATACCAGACTACGCATAAGAGAAGAGGAAATCAGGTGCATGAACAGAGAGCAGAGCATCGCTGATATTTCTGCCCATAAGTGCATGCTGACTGTTCCATTCCAAGAATAGGAGACCAGTCACTGAGAAAAACATTTAATTAAATTGTGAATGTAATGTGTGGACTCCCTGAACCAGCAGCGGCACAGGATGAGTCAAGCAGAGAATGTCTAAAAAGTACTGCATATAGTGACCATGGAGACCAAGGTCTATAAAATCAGGTTATTAAACTGGTTCTGCTGGCTCTTGATAAACTTCAGTAGTTCCAGAAAAAGCTTTCAGTTCAATCACTTAAAATGCTTTGGGTTTTTCATATGTGTGTGTGAGCCCTATGAACCCCCAAATCCACAAACAGGTTTTAAAAATCTCAAAAATTACACCTAATATTTGAGCAGGAAATTGATTTTTTTAAAGGATTTTTGGGCTGCATAAGTTTGAACTGCAGGCTGTGATTAGCTTAGAAGCAAATTAATAATGTAAGCAGTAAAATATTATGTAGAGCCACCATTTTTTTGCCCAGTACATCTGTGGACACTTAATAAATTGTTGTACATACTGATACTGATACACACTGTCTCTCGACTTCTAGCCATGGTTGTTCTGTTTCCATAGAGGTTCAGGAAAAACTTCTTGGGGTTCAAAGGGTTAATCAAGTCAGCACCAATGGCACAGAGGTAGAAGACCCATCCTGTCTGATATTGCCATATAAAAACAAATTCATCACCATAACTTCTCTCTCAAAAAAACAGTCAGGATTGAAGGTTGTTTTTTCAGACTGAATAAATGGCATTTCTAAACAAACAACACGACACCAACGACGTTATTTTATAACTTATGAATAGCTGATCAAGTAGTTTTAATACCTGGTATTTGTTTCACGGTCATTCAGTGATTCATGTCGGGATGTTGTAGCTCTACATGAGGTATGAAGCAGCTCATTTCCAGTAACTAGCTGATAACAGCGTGATATCACTGGACTTTTAAACACACTCATGCTAAATATTTACGTTCTGCTAAAAGCCCCACACTCACCTGTACTGAGCGATGTGTGTCCTGTTCAGGTGAAAGTGAAGAACTTGACAGCTCCTCCCACTGATGCCGCAGGTTTTGCAGGTGAACAGAGCAGCTGTCGGAGAGGCGAGTGTACTCCTGCCAGAGGGAAAGTGTCTCTCCAGCCTTCATGTGCTCGTCTTTTATCTCCTGCACAACGTCGTTCCACCTGACGAAGTCACAAAAAATTAGTGACACAGGAAGACTACAGCTGTTTGATTAAGCTCATGTGATTTTACTAAATTTTCAAAATAAAAATGAAATTATGCATAATAAATTTTAGTGCAGTTGCTATAGAGGCAGATAAACAGTGACATAGTGTCAGAGAGTCTGGCCTTCTAATCTAAATAATTGTACGGTTACATTTTGGTGTGCACTCTAAGTTCATGAACGGGCTGCTTCAGTTTGGAAACAACACATTACTCTTTCTTTCAGATAATATTTTCATTATTTTTTCCTGTAATTTCCCCGTCGGGTTTCCATCATAGCAGTAATATATTCAATCGCATAGATATTATAAAGACGTTTCCTTGCAATCATCTGAAGCAGTGTTTCTTCAAAACCTTCATTTTTAGAAGCTCTGTTTATATTCAGTCCAGTGGGTTTTTTATTTTACACGTTTCTTTTTATTTTTTATTATTTTGTTTAAAAAATGTTAAATAAAAAATAACCTTCTTAGTGCTTAATGAACATTTAATCTGTTTGTATGTTTGAAAAATAATCGAAATGATTACATTTGAATGACAGGTTCTCACTAGACAGTCACTTGATCTTTTTTTCTTTGATCCACTGATTCCATTTTGCTCATTTCAGGCCACTGACCGTTTTTGCTCTCCTTCCATTTGATCATGCAGCGCCTGTGCTGCTCCAGGATGGACAGTCTGCACAAGACTCTGATGGGATTTGTCTACAGCCGTCCAAAGCTCTTCTCCTTTACCAGCCTCTCCCTGGAGTTGCTGTGTAAAGAAAATCACCTTTCATTCATATTCCCTCCTCAGAGGTATATTTACTTCCCAAAAACCAAGTATGTGGACTGAAAAGCTTAACATCTGTGAATGCCCACATCTTTCCTGAGCATTTAGACATTGGATTAACTTGCTTAAAGAGGTAAAGCAGAAACAATCTACTTGGATTAAAGTGATGATCCTGATAATAAATAAATGAAAAAACAACAACATGTGATTAGATCTTCATGTAGCTGTAAAGCCTTTATGTGCACGTGGCAGTATGATATGATAAGACCATCATTGCTCACCTGGACGAGGTCTGAGTATCCTTCTGCCTGCTTTAGTGAAAACAGAGGAGCTTGTTGATGCTGCAGGGCACAGCGCACCCTAGTGGTGTGCAGGATAGCATCCCTTAGATTTCTGTGGAAACAGCTCCAGTCATCCACAGTCTGTTGAAGAACTGGCTTCTGAGCTTCCATCTGCAAGGTGCCAGAGGGAGAACTGGATGATGATTTGTAATTCAGCTTATCTGACAGTTGAGACGATTTCTGAGGTAGAGGTTGATGTTAATACAGCAACATTAGAATACTTGTAACAAAATGATCAATGTGTCACTAGTCGATCAATGACTTAGGTTGGTAGTTAGATAGCTTTGATCAGGCACTTTAGTGAGAAGATATTTGTGTTTTGTACATTGAATGGAGGAGTCATTGATTTTAAAAGTAATATATGAAAGACTTGATCTGTTTCACAAATAAAATGGACACATCCGAATGTGGTGACTTTACAGAGCAATGGTATTATGCTTTATATTTGCATTACATTTTGCATAAATTATGCATAAATTGTATTAAACAAATTGGGGGAAAAAAGTGGTTACAAATAAGGAACTTTTACTTAAGTGCAATATTTTGCAACTTCAACAGGCTGTTTTTGCATCGCAGGAACTTGCGTACTGTTTTGTGGTAGCCTCAACCACATACTGAGTGTGTGGGGAAGAAAATGTACCTACTTCAGTGTAGGCACATCTGAGCAGCCTTCAAAATGACTATTTACACATCTTTCAGACACAGAAGAGTTTACAGTTACTACAGATACCCTCTCCTCAGCCTGGCGTTAAATCTTTATTCTATACAGCGATTCAAACATTTACATGCTTCTAGCAAGCAGTTGTGCTTCTGACAACCTGAACATGTTTTTCTATTTAGCTTCTTTTTACCAACTCCTGAGAAAAGTAAGGGATTACTACAGTATATTCTCAGCTAGCTGCTAACTTTGTCTGCTGGGCAACGTGAGGAAATCAGAGCTTGGATGGCTGCATTTGGAAACAAGTCTGATGCGATAGTGAAACAAACTAGTGAAGGTGAGAGCTATAAAACCACAACAATATATTTGAAAACATGAAAACCCTTTGAGGTGAGGGAACTGGAGCACTGAGTGATGATTCACTGTAAGTGACCCCTTGTGTACTTCGCAAGCATAAAGAACAATATGATCACATGCCATGTTGTTCAAGCTGTTTATAATGTCTCACGGTACTACCTTTAATTCCCTGTTGCCTGGAACAGAATTTTCCATGTCAAGATTGCGGTAACAGATTTACTTTTACCTGTTGACTAAGATCCCTGCAAGCATGACTGCTGCTCTGTGCCTGGGTAGAAAAGGCAGAATCACATGGGTGCTCCCCTCCCTGTTCACCATGCGCTCGTCTGGTTTGTAGCTCGTGCACAGCTGAAGCCACCTCCCTCACTCTGCCCGCAACAGCCTGGAAAAAAAAAAAAACAGCAGCCTCAGATCAGATCAGGAGAAGATGCTGCGCAAAACCCGCTGCTCTGTTTGCTTCTTGTTACTGTACCTCCCACTCCAGCAGAGCCTTGCGAGCCACAGTTTGGCTGGTGGGCTGCTTCCACTGACTCAGTTGTTGTTTCTGCCGCTCTATCCAGCCGTAAAGACGCTGCAAATGTCTCTCTCTTCCTGCACAGTTATGATGTATCTGCTCAGCTGCACGAATCTGAGAAAGTAAAGCCAAACAGTGGTTGATTCATGCGTAGCAAGAAAGTCCTGAAAATTACAAAATGACATTCTTTTAAGTTTGTGTGGTTTCCATTCTTGTTGCCATAAAGGGAATTATAGTTTGTTTGGTGTTCCAGTAGGAATATCAGTTAGTTGCCAATATTTGTGGTGCTTTAACATATTTGAGATTTGAGTGTTTCTTTTCTCTTGTCTGCAGCTCTGCTTCCTTTTACATATATTTTACTTATTAGCCACACTTGGATCCTCTGTTGTCATAAAAGTGGTCTTCTTCACTTTAAACATTGATGAAGATACAATGGCATTTTTAAATTCAGAGTAGCAGAGGTCTCTCTGTTAAACATTAGTAGCTGAAATAAAGACCTGGCTCTGCAGCTCCCTCTGAAAGTGCTGCCACTTCAGTCTGAAGGTTCCCAGTTTCTCTGTGAACATTGTGCGTTCAGAGCGGAGGGCTTGGATGTCTGCTCCCGCCGTCTGAGCTCCAGGCTGGCAGAGGAAATCCAGGAGGAGCTGCCCATTGGCCACAGCTGCCTGTAACACCTGAGGAATAATGTTTCATACAAAGAAATTCAAACATCTATAAAAAAAAATTTAAAAAAAAGTCAAGCATGCTGAGAAGTTTCTTTCTATATTTGTACGCACAAAAAAAAGATCCCTTCTACCACTGAATTTCTTTTTTCAAGTATAAATTTCTTACCATTAAGTACTGTTAATAATTATAGTAGTAGTGCTTTTAGTGCATGATGAAATATCATCCATGCTTACTTAATTTGAAATAAATATTTCGCTAGTTATCCCCAAACAACTGGTGATTGTTTAAAATAAAAGCTCTGACATTAAATAAACCTCTCACATACAGCGATTCTACAAGGAGATGCACGGAGAAAAGTCAAAGTAGAGGCAGAGGAGGTATAAATACCTGGTAGTGCTGCAGGATTTCAGCGATCTGAGCTGCATTTGTGGCCTTCAGGACTCCTTCTTTCTCCTGGGTCAGCTGAGCCTCCATGTTTTTTAGCCGGTCCTCCAGGTCTGACAGCAGCTCCACCGATGGATGTGCTGCCAGCAGACACTAATGGGCATGAGCCGAGAGAAAAGAAAGGGAGTTTAACTTTACATGAGCGGATTTCCAAGTGTTCAGTTTCTTAAATTGCTTTATTTCATTTATCTAGAACGATAATCATACATTAAACATCTGCCCGGCTACAATCAGACCTTTGTACATATCCAGATTCTTAAATCTTTCTTTGGTAGAGAAGATCCTTTCATCTTGTCCTGAGGTGGCTGCCAAATTTCAAGACATCGAAATGAAACTTCTGCAAGATAAGCCAGGCTAAAGTAGTTTAATGTTTAATATAGTGGCAAATACCTGGTTCCATTCACTGGTGAGGAAAAATTAAACATGACCTTCTCGTTGATTCCTAGTCCTCCCTATCCTCAGCCACCCCAGAAATAATTTCAGCAGGGTTTAACTGTACACTCCCTTAACCAGAGGAGATTTCTCAGTGCCTAATTATTTTTGAAAACCAACAGCAGTTACATGAAATGTGAAACGGACCTACTAACATGACCACTAGCATGTTATAAAAGCTGGAGATTATTTAGGCCATTGCATTATTTACCATAAGAAAATCATATGAACGATTCGTCTTGCAGTAACAGTAGGTTTAGTTCACCTGCTGCAGCTGCTCTCGTTTCTTGGACAGGTCAGAGGTCAGTGTGTTCCAGCTGACCTCCAGCTGGGTGAGCTGACTTCTCAGCGCAGGACAATCAGCTTCCTGCAGGTGGAGGAGCTTAGTGCCATCCTTGGATACAGACGCCTTCAGCACTGACATGGCCTCCACTTGCATGGAGAGGTCCTGAGGACAATGTCACATTTAGAAAGCAGCTCAATTCTGACCAATGGATGTTTTATGAGATGTTTTAATTTCATTGTCAACCTGAATAGATCTTTAGTTAGGGCCAGCGGCCAGTAGAGGCCATTATAAGTCCATCACAGTGAGTGTTTAATACTGTGATATTGTGCTATTGTAATTTGCACTCTCTTTAGCCAAATCACAACTAAAGCTGATGACAAGTAGTCAGGCTATAAGTGGTATACTATACCACATTAGTCAGCAGATTTTATTCATTTATGCAGGATCATGTTACAGGTTGTCTTTGTGCAGATATGATTCTGATCTGGACTGGGAGTTAGACACTACTGAATAAGTTACGGTTTAGTTTTTATATCTTCTGCCAACATTGTAATAGCTCACATTATAATAACTTGAGTTTGACCGAAACATGAAACCAACAAATAAAAACACCATCGCACCAAACAGAATCTCACCCCGAATACATACATAAAAACAAAACAACAGAAAGTAACTCTTTTGACTGTACATCGGCCTAAAACAGAGTAAAGACTGCGATTTGATGCCTTGGACTAAAAAAAAAAACAAAAAAATTCTTTATTTGACAGTTTTTTTTTTTGTTTGTCTGTTATCATTGTTAGATCACGAGCAATTTGATGAGGAGACGGTAGAGCCTTACCAGCAGCTTGATCAGGTTGCTTTTAACGCACTCCTGGCTCAGGTCAGAGGTATCTCCCTGATCTGAAAAAGTCTTCAGATGTTTGTTGGCACCAAGCAGCCGTTCACTGACCGCGGCAAAGTCAGTCTGGAATCTATGGGGAGGATGAGAGAGCACACAGGTCAATCAGTGGGGCAGAACATGACTGCTCCTTCACACAGAGTGAGGTAAGGACTCAGGCGTGAGTCCAATAGTGGTAAAGAAGTCTGTAGATGAGTGACATGTGTGTTCTGTTCTGATTTCATGCTCGTACACATTTAAAGTCTCTTTCTGGTTGATGGTTTAACCTCTAAAAACCCAAACGTTTCATATTAATATCCATGTAGATAATGCCTTCCTGCCTTAGAGCAACCTCGATGTAATTTTACACTGCTGATTCCTCTACAATGGCTCTATGTCCCGTCTCTATCTACACCACCCACTGCAGCTCAGCACACCAGCTTACCTATGACTCTGCTCAAACACTGCAACTACTCTATGCTACACAATTGCAAATTGTAATAATTTAATGATTCAGCCACACATGCATGAGAAGAAAAACTATTCTGAAGAAGAATAGCGCTACAAAAAGTTCCACCCTGCAAGTTGACAGGATTGTTTCCTCACGTTTGTTATCTATGAAACCCTGAAAGTCTGAATCTGTGTTTTTAAGATCATGATCAGTGCAACTTCAAAGAAGAAGAAATGCTCAGTCATAGTGTTGACTGCTTATTTCACCTGATATGTCTTCTGGCATTTAACAAACACTGTATGGACACATTAACAAGCTAAAAAAAACTAGATTTTCACCAGAGGTGATATACTGGGATTACTGAACAACAGATTGTTGAATGAAGTCATTGCTGTAAACTAGGGAATCTCATAAGGAAATCATTTAGGAATTAATTTCCCATGTCTGTTTTTCAGCTGTCACATTCTAAGTGTAAACAAAGTCTTTTCACTCAGATTGACTGACTAAACCACAGAGAGCGTTTCTGGGCATGATTAAACATTTGATAAAGCAGAATCCTCCAAATGTGCTCTTCAGCCTGTGGTAAGATCACGAGTCATTCACATATTCATCTTTTTAGATTTCACACTTTTGATGGATTTAGGGTTGCTCTTCTGCTAAATCAGCTTCAAAGTTATGTGTCTGATGAATCTTTTGAATTACTATTTAAAAACACTGCCAGATTTCTCGCTAATACTTTCCTTTTGCAACCTCTATAATTCTCCTGGAAGAAAAAAACTGCGAGGAAACAAGCAGATGATGAGATGAAACTTGTGACACAAAATTCATAAATGAAAGAAAACACAAATGACCTGTGCAATTAAAACAAATGACAAGAGGCCATTAGGTGACTCTATAATCACAGGAATATGTCTGTACTGTACATAATCTTACATACTTAATGCAAGACTAAAGACTGTACAAATAATCTTAAAAGGACATGTATTAAGACTGGCAGGTTGGGAATCAGCATTCAGTTCTGTTTAACAGTCTTTTAATGGGCCTGGCTCTGTAAAGAAGAGAAACTTTATCATTTATTTCTACATTGACTCTATAAACAAAATTGCTAATATGGTTGTTCCAGGCAGTAACATCTGTAATCCTGCTCAGGCAATAATTAAAACTGCTTCGAGATAATATTGATAGAAAAGCTACGTTTTCTTTAATAGATGAAACAAGTTAGTATTTCCGAGCCTGGCCCACCTGGCTCGAGTGTCCTGAATGTCTCTGCAGCGCTGGATCTCTTGTTCTGTCCGCCTGTAGACACTCCTCCATCGCAGCTCCAGAGCGCCTCCTGCCTGACTGACGCAGGCAGCAAACCCTGGCTCTGCCTGCAGCACCTTCCCCTCGTCCAGCAGCCGTCCTAAACCAGTTCTGCTCTCATCCAGCTGGACCAGCGTTTGCTGAATGACAACAAGACTTATCAGTACTTATGCACATTTTCCCAGATTCTCTTGACAGGCAGCTTTCACGGCAACGTTTGAAAAGACAGGATGGGCTAAATATGCAGAAGACGGTGAGTTAACCCTCTGAACCCCAAGTAGTTTCTGGGGTTTCTATTGCTGCTGTCACTTTTTTTAACTCACTGTGGGTTAATTTTTCACTGCAATCTAAAGTCCTGCACCTCTGTGGAAACAGCACACACATGGCTGGAAGTACAGAGAGCTAAAATGGCTTTTGCAGTATGACACAGTTAGAATTCTATAAATCGTGAAAAATTAAAGTTGAATGTGTTTGATTGTTTACTTTACAAAGAATAGTACAAAATACAAAAATACAAACAAACCGGAATTACCATCTACAACATCTTTCCAAGTGTCAACAGGTGTTCCCAATATTGACAAAAGAGGTAGGTCTACATGCAAGAATATTTAACTACTTACATTTTTATTTTTTTCCATACTTGTTTTGTCTCCTATCTACTCCGTGGAAACACAGCCTGTGATTTTTTTGTTATGTGACTGTTAGTTACAACCGAGTCAGTCGTGGCTTTTCTGGTGAGATGAAAAGCACAGAATTTTATTTTATTTGTATTTATTTTTTCAATTTCTTTTTCTTTTAAAAATTAAATGAGACTTGTAAAATAAAATAACTATCTGACAATTCTTTCTGTTTTTAGTTTCTGGCAGTGATAAATGATGTAATTTGGCATTTTTAAAGACAACATGCCTTTAAAACCTGCTGGTATGTTTTGGAGTTCAGAGAGTTTAAACACATCTGTCTGAAAAGTGTTAAATCGCTTTTAAAGTGGATCACAGAGAAATGAAAAGCAAGTGCAGAGAATACCTGCAAAGTTATAACCATGAGGAAGAAATAAGAAGAAAGATAATACAGGAAAAGAAAAACAACAAATGTATCCCCCAGTCAGTAAAACCAGCTCATTATCTGCTATAGTAACAGCTTTCTCTGTCTCTACACACAAATCTTTGTCTAATCCAGTTCGATTCATACCACCTAATAAAGTATAAAAACTAAAAAAGCAAAGAGAGTTTAAAAGAAGTGACCTAAAAGAAGACATGTTTCTACATTTCTATGCCTGACAGAGAAACACATACTAATACTAGGCTGCTGGCATGAGACCATTAATTTCTAAAGTCACATTTATTATTTAAGATTTTCTTTTTTCTTAATGATCATTTTGAACATTTCCAGTGTAACTATGATGTATTTTAAGAATATTTCAAGAAGAAAAATATTTTAACATCAATGCAAAATTTTCAAAATTTGGTGAGGGTGTTTCTTCTTTTCCCTAAACATCGAACAATCCCATGAATCTAGTTCAAAAGAGGCACAAACGCCTCAACAGATTAATGAATTGCAAGTACAGCAGGTCAAGTTTTGATTTAGTGCAACTGTCATCTGGAAACAAGTCTTCATCTAATCATGACACTTATGCAACATATCGTCCAAGTATGGTCTTTGTAGTTTGTAGGAGGCATTCTGGGAAATACGGGAAATCAGTAACAGGAATCTTAGTAGAAGAGGAACTAAAAATAATTATAAAAGGAGGACACGTGTTATATTACTATAACTGATGACTGTAGAAATAAAAACATTTATTTAATAAAACTTAATGCATCCAAACTCCTGCGTATCAGCAAACCTGAGCGAATTTGTACTGGTCTATATCCCGTAGAATACATCAGGTTAAGGAGGAGGAATGAGAAAGGAAACAACACAAACTAAGAAAAGAAGTGAGAACAAATTGTGTTAAGTGTGACAGGATGTACCTGGCAGGCATCCAGTCTGTGCTGCACCATCTCCTCATCGTCATCTCCCTCTGGTGCCGCGCTGCTGATGAAGGCTTCACGCTCATCCAGCACCCGTCCCAGTCGACCGCAGCTACCCTCCCAGCGGGTCCGCTCCTGCAGCACAGCCAACCATAAAGCGATACATCTGTTTTAACATCTGATCTGTGAGCACTCCAGTCCAGGCATTTTTCAAGGCATTACAAAATAAAATGCACATTTGTGTATGTATGAATTCATATGGCCTTCAGCAAATGTGCGCTACAAACCTGGAGCCTCCTTTGAGAAGCCACCTCCTGTTCCAGAGCCTGTTGCTGCAGTGCTTTGGCCCTGACTTCCAGCTGTACCCATTCATCCTCTTGACACCTGAGTGCTTCTGGCTCATGTTGGAATAGATGCTGGACATATGCCAACCGGGACCTGAGGACCTGAAGGAGTTTCTGCATGACCAAAAGACCAGATTTATAATAAGAGTAAAGCAAATGTATATGAAGTAAATACATTTTGCAACAAACTGGGTTTTACTTAGTTCTTCTTTTTGTATTTGTTTGTTGTTTTGAGTTGGTTTAGTGCTGACTGTGTCTTTGAAAACCATCAGAACTTTCCTTCGCACTCTTGGTAAAGTACTGTACCTGACTTAAATCTGATCTTCATCTATGTGTTAAAGAACTTGTTGAAAGCACAGTGAGATACCTTGTGTCTGCAGAGAGTGGTTTGAAGTTTACTGCAGTTGTGAACCTGGCTCATCGGTCTTTCTGTTATGCATTCTTCACCCAATTCCAGGAGGCGAGCTATCCCCTGAAGCAAGGACCGAGAAGCATGTTGCAGCTTGGCTTTTTCCCCTGGACTCTCTCTCAGATGTCTGCCCACCACACACTGCAGAGATGTACAGGAGCAGCACAGAGCTTAAGGAGAATACGATTAACTTTAAAAACACAGATCCTGTATAAGTCGCAACTACAACGGTCCGATAAGAGTGTAGTCATCCCATTAGTCCTACTTTCAAAGGAAAACTGAAATGTTATCCATTAATTATGGCATCCATCTCAACTATCTGAATCCCAAGACATCTTTTCAAAAAAATCAACAAAATCATAAACGTCGTCAAATGCTCAATTTTGCTTAAATGTTCAACAATCCTCAATTTAATCATGTGTAAATGTTTTGTTCTATCAGGAAGATTCAGCAAATCTCATTTCTAAATTGCGATATTTCATCAAATTCAGTTTATTCTACACATTGTATTTTTTTTTTAAATTCCAAAAAATAAACAATGTGTAGAAAAAGATTCTGTAAAAATAAAAAATAAATAAAATGGAAATCCAGCGCTCCTTGGTACAACTGAGAAGCCATGACTGACTCAGTCACATGACCAAAATTCTACCATTTCTCAGGTGAAGTGCAGGTTGTGTTTAAACAGAGCAGACAGGAGAAGACACGAGAGACTGAGAGAGAAATAAAACATATTTGCAAGATGTTGGAAGACATGTTGGGCATGGTAATATATCTGTCTAGAGTTGATGCGCAGAGTGGTGTGAGAAAATAAAAGTTTATAGAAGTTGTAAAAATGTAAGTGGTCAAATATTTCTGGCATGTAGACTCATCATTTTTTCCAGCATTGGTAACACATGTGGGCACCTCTTTGTACATGCTGATTCAGTTTAGTTTTTTTTTCCTTTTTTGCACAAGTATTCAAAGAAATTCAACTTTTGTTTCTTCTTTTTTTTACTGTTTTATGGCATTCTAATTTTTATACAGTGAACAAAACACTTTCTTTCCTTTTAGCCATGAGTTGTGCATGGAGAAAAAAACGTGACGAGAGCAAAAAAATGCCCAGAAACTGCTCAGTGTTCAGAGGGTTAAATATTCATTTTTGCTTCACTTTGCATGTGTCACCAAAATCTAATTTGACAGTGTGGAAAAAAATGGCCTACAATGTCTTTTAAATGAAGCCTTTCCTTGTGATGTACTATTGTTAGAATGTAAACATGTTTAACACACATAAAGCCGTGCGGCAGTGGTTACCTCTAACACCGGAGCATCCTTCAGACTGGGGAAGATCTCACTCTGTCCCAGATCAAAGTCCTCCAGAAGGTGGCTGGAGAAGAGCTCCTATGTGAGGAAAACGTACTGTGTTGGTTCTAAGCAGTGGTCACAGAAGTATCCTTGTTATTTTTTAATTACTTTTACCTGACCTTTACTAAACTAATGTAGCACATAAGCAGCAAGTTTAATATTGGACCTGGTTTGAATAACTTTGTATGCTGTTATTCGATCACCATATTTTAATAAGTGACTATGTGTAAAATCTACATCTGTAAAGTACCTACAAGTATATTGCAAATGTGTAATGGATAATATTTAATACAATATTTCCAGTGCACTAAATTCAAAGTATAAAGTATAAAGTGTAAACTGTATTTCTGTGTGTTACTTAGGGAAACCTTTTGCTTCAGACGATGTAGGAGCCAGGTGTACAGGATACAAATGATTACATTGGCATTTAGCATCTCTATAGTACATCCAGAAGCTATATTATCATATTTTTTAGAAAATATTTACAGCCACAGAATTAAGATAATATCCATACTTAAAGGTGTATATCAGCCCTCAAAACTGTTTTTTTTTTTTTTTGGTTCCCTAGTAATCTACATTTTAGTGATACATTTAGTGGCTTCAGCATATCAGCAGAAATGTGCAACTTCAGTAAATCACAGAGCCACTTGTTTCTTAGTGACATAATAGAATATATATATGTATACTATGTTTGTTGACATAATTTATTATTTATTTCAAACCTTCTGTTGGCTCTTGGTGCCTGGATGTTCAGTGAGTGGATGGTGGGGGGAGTTAAAGACCAGCTGGACAGTATGAAGACAATCCTGAAGGCAGCTCAGACAGCTGTGAGCATCTGGCTCGTCCTTTGAAAGTGCAGGCCCGGTCTGTGACGCTACTTTACTCAACAGCTCAGCCAGAGTCTCCAGCTCAGCTGATACACACTGCACAGGAATGTAGACAAACAGAAAAGGCAAAAACAGAAGAGTGAGAAAGTGGAAATCCACAGCTAAAGAAAGAAAAGCTAATAGATAATAGTAATAGAGATATTTAACTCTATTCTTGTTTAGACGAATGAAACAGAAAAATTCCCCCCTTTCTTATAACTTTGCCTGCATATGATTTTTTTTTCTTCTTAATACAGTAGATTCAATGGAAAGCCAACAAAATGTATGTGTGAGTTGTGTAGCATTATGGTGAGTCACCTCTTGCTGCAGCAGCCTCAGCTGAGAATCAGCTTCACCAGCACCACCAGGAGTCAACAGCAGGTCAGTCAGAGAGTCCAGACAGAAGAGGACTCTCCGAACTGCCTCATATAGCTCCTTCTTCTCACCTGCAGACCCGCCTGTAGCCCTCACCTGGGAAATATTAAAGACGATCATCACTATCACTCAGAATCACTTTCTATCACTCTCACACACACAAAGGCGAGTTGATATATTGGAGTAATTCAGTCATGCATGCTCAAACCAGAAACTAATTCTGAGAAAGATCAATGACACAGAAACCTTCAAGCTGCAAATTGATCGGATGTTGCTTTCTTTGGTTTGTTATATATGATACCCCCAAGGATCTAGACCGGCACTTAGAGCTTTCTTAGTGGAAGCTCCTAAATGTCATTTCCAGCTTTAAATCCAAGTTAAAAGCATATTTTTACTCAGTGGCTATTTTGGTTCAGATGTAATCCTAATTTTTACGTGACTGTACAGTACTAATAGCTACCCTTGTAATTCCTCATACAATGGTTTGGGTTATTTTTGTTGAATTGTTTCATTTATTTTATGACTTATTTGTTACTAATGTGTAAGCAGATGTAACCTCTGATTCTACTACACATACTATTTGTCTTAGCATGTTGATGGATTCATGTGTTCGCTGTAGAACTGCAGAAGCAGATCCAGTTGACATCGACTCCTTTTCTGGAACCTAAACAAAAACACAAAATTGCACTCATTAGTTTAACAGTAGGTGGAGACAAAGAGAACGACTGCGTGGAGGTTACAATTAGGCAGGGCGCACAGAGTTTAAACGACTACTTCATCTGTTCATATTCAACTGACAGATGCTGCTTTTAGCACTTTCTCGCACGCACACATAAAAATTCAAACTAATAATATCATACTTTTTTTAAAGATTGCAGCTACTGGTGCTTTTTATTATGTAGAACTGGCAACACAATAGATATGAAAGTAGAAAGACTGTCAGCACATTCAAAGGGTTGAGTCAACTGTTGCCCTGGTAACAGATGCGATCGGTGACTTGGTATCCTAGCATCCACATCATACAAATAATTTGCCTCTATCATTGACAAGCTATTTCATCCCTCGTCTACATCCTCCCAAAACTCAGCCTTTTTGAAAAAATCTAAATCAGCCCCTGCAATTAAGACAAACACCTCATTACTCTTCTGTATTTTCCCACCTTTTCACCGTTTCCTCCATCTCCTGCACTCATCAGGCTTTGATGCTCCTCTTTAGCTTTTGTCAAAGTGATCAGTTTTTTAGAGATCTGGGAGTGAAGTCGACTCCACCTTTGGGACTCCCTGTCGTCCTCTTTGCTTTCAGCCAAGCTAAGAAGCAAACAAATGTGCATGATTCTGGTATTTTATGTACACAAGAGTAGCAAAACTCATAATTTAGTATGACCAGGACTTCTTCTTTTCCCTTTTATCAGCTTTTTACCTGATGGGCACCTCAGAAAACGTCTGTGGTTGCTGGGATTCTTCCATCAATCTACTGCTACTGACACTGACTTCACTTGGCGCTTTCAGTCCAGTTAAAGCCTCCTGTTCATACAAGTCATTACCAGGAAAAAATTGACAAAATAAGTGAAGTGCAATTTTCACATGTGACACAATTTATGTTGAGGGTTTGAGTCAGAGTCAATTTAACTTCAAACATTTACTCAATCAAGCTTTGTCCTTCTATTAATTTGATGTCACTGACTGGTAAATATTCAATTTTTTATTTTTTTTAAAAAAGCGAATATTTATAGTCAAAGTTGGTCATTTTGAATGGCATCTTTTTCATTCTCAGACACTTACCAGATCTGAATGTGGACCTGTGGACACAGACCGATCTTCAACCTCCTCCTCTATGAACTCATCTGATGCTCTTTTGGAAGTAAACGGCGTTATAGGTCTTGAAGGAATCAGTCTTGTGTCTTCCACTGCAGCAGCTGCCTGAGGGGACTTTGCAGAAGGGTCAGTGTGCAAAGTTTCATGTTTTGACGAGTCATGGTTCTGGTTTGTAGCAGCAGTGTTAAACTGGTCTTCAGCTGCTGGGATGGCTGCAGTGTTTAGTGACTCAGTGGTCACAGTTTTAGGACTGAATACGTTGCCAGTAGAATCCAGTGTTATTAATCCACTTTCAACATTTTTAGATCCAAAGCTGGTATCAAAGCCAGGCTCCGTAGTGAAGAGTCTGGTTTCAGAACCTTTTGAATACGTCTCCACTTCAGAGGAAATCTGATGAGGCGAACTCTGCAGTTCCTAAAAGATACATGGAAGATTTTACTGATAAGAACTGGACCTCATAATATTTAATGCAATAATAACAGCAATGGCCTCTTTAAATTATTTCTATCTTGCATTTTGTAAATTACAATGCTAACTTTGAACATGTAGAAATCAGCACATTGATACCAAAAAGACTACACTATTGAAGTCTAGCTTTCTATAAGAAATGCAGCAAATGCTTTTAAACAAATACATCTACAAAATGAAATGGTATTTACCTCAACATCTGACATCGGCCTAATTTCAGCCATATCCTCGCTTTGCACATCTGACAGGTTGAGTGTCTCCTCCAGGTCCTAACACATTGGTTGCACAAATATTCAAATGCAAACTCAATCCATGCACGCATGCATATATAAGTGCCAATCTCTTTCTAGGTGTGCAAATGAAAGGAAAGGTTTCAGAGGAGCAGCATATTTCAAGCAGCTGCTTGTGACAGGGCCAGAGTAGATTTATCAGGAAACGCAATGACCTGCCTCACACAGCTTTATATCAGCATGCAAACGCCGGCTCGCTCCTTCCACACCACAGGAGAAAGAAGCAGTATTAAAGCTGAAAATAAGTGAATCAAAATATAAATAAACATGGAAAAATCCAAGTAAAAGTAGCCCAAGAAATATCGAGTTTCAGTCCAAAATGCCTAGAATTAATATGTGCTAAATGTTGTGGTTTTGAGGTTGTAAATTCTGCCAATAACGTGTAGGTTTGACTGATAGCACTTTTTACAGCATTGAATGTTACATTTTGGAATGAAACCCAGAAGACAGAGGCACCCAGACACATGCTCCCCTGACGTGATGTAATCATTTCTCAGATTTACCTCTGGAATACTGCATGTTAGTGTGTCAGAGGATGACGAGCAACAACTCTCGTCCTCCTCATCCTCCTCTTCCTCTGAATTAGACACCTCAAAAGCCTCCTGCTTTTAGTGATAGGGTGAATATATGATCAAAACTGTGATTAAAATGGGACGACAAATTGTCTTTCTGATGACTCTTTTCATTTTTCATTTCAAGAAATGTTTCCTTAATTCAGTCTTTAAGCAACATCATTAAGAAAGTGTTTGTTTTTGGGATGCGTACCACCAGGACTCCATTAGTATCATCATCATCTTTACATTTCCAATGGAACTTGACAAAAACGATTGCATGTACTTTTCATGCAGTTATTTCTCTACTTAAAACTACATGTCTGACAAGAAAATGCTTGACTAATAAGCTCTACTGGTGGAATGCATGTTAGTATAGTAAATATTGATTTGCTTACAAGGATTGTTCATTTTTTGGGGAAGATTACTTTCAGAATTTCAATGTGATTCCACAGGCGTTCAAAGATTGTGCTAATCGAGTCAAACTTGATCCAAACAGTTGTTAAAATTTACCATAAACTGCATGCAAAACATACCCTACACTGCTATCAATCACTGGGTATGCACAGCAGGACAAGAGAAAAATTCCCCAAAAAACAAAGATTGTAGGATTTCCTTGAGCCTGCCCAGTTTACTTTAATTATATTTACTATCGATTGATATTTGTTGGACAGGACTTTAACAGGCAGGCTCAACTAATCCCACATAACAGATTAAATAAATTAAACAGGACGACTGTCACTATACTTCTGGGAACAATTCACCATCTTTACTGAATGTTCCTGCCTTAAAGTACAGTTTTAAAATTCAGCAACCAATAGAACTCCTGCACTGTGATAATATAAAAAGCGATATACTGCTGCACTACATTATGATTGTGATTATTGTTACCTGGACTAAGCGTCTATGTGGAGATCGGCCCAGCATCGCCTGCATCACTTCGGCAGTTGTGGTTAAGCCGAGATCCTTCCCCTCTCTAACCTTGATCTATGTTAGAAAAAAGAAAATGATAAGTGACAAAAGGGGATCAAAAACATATTGAAGGTTGTGTTGACAGGATGAGAAGATCAGCACACTGGTACCAATAACAAAGATA